TGCCACATTGATGTCACATTGATGTCACATTGATGTCACATTGATGTTACATTGATGTCACATTGATGTCACATTGATGTCACATTGATGTCACATTGATGTCACATTGATGTCACATTGATGCCACATACTGTTGCCTTTTGGACTTGTAAGAAAAAGGAATCTCAGATATCAAAATTGACAAACTTATTTCCTATGTTTCTATAAATGATATATTCCTTTCTCCTCTCGTGGTCATAGCAGACGTCAAGACCTGTAATCTAATCCAATAACGGTGAAAAATTTCCGCCAAAATCCATGGCAGTTTCAAAATGTCCATTTATCAGACGAGTTATCCTCACTAAACATAAAGAAGGTCACGAATGTAAGTTCGGTTAATCAGATATACGTTAGATTGTGAATGAAACACATTTTAAAAAAAGAAATCTAAATTGTGTTCTTTAAACATGTGTTTTGTTAACAGGCAGATTTGATCAACAATTTTGTTCTTTCATCACGGCAATTTTTTGTTACTAAGCTCAGATGTAAGGATAAATGCATTGAAATAAAGACTGCAGAGGTGCATAACAATAATACCAAGATGACGCTCTGCTTAGGTGCATTAACTTGTTATAGGGGGGGGGGGACTGGGGATGTTTTCATTGGCTTGTAAGTTGTCAATGAGCGGAGCAATGAGAGAGGTGCATAACAATAATACCAAGATGACGCTCTGCTTAGGTGCATTAACTTGTTATAGGGGGGGGGGACTGGGGATGTTTTCATTGGCTTGTAAGTTGTCAATGAGCGTAGCAATGAGCGTGCCATTGAGCGTGGCAATGAGCGTGGAAATGAGCGTGGCATTGAGCGTGGCAATGAGCGTAGCAATGAGCGTGGCAATGAGCGAGGCAATGAGCGGAGCAATGAGCGGGGGAATGAGCGTGGCATTGAGCGTGGCAATGAGCGTGGCAATGAGCGTGGAAATGAGCGTGACAATGAGCGTAGCAATAAGCGTGGCAACGAGTGTGGCAACGAGTGTGGCAACGAGTGTGGCAACGAGCGTGGCAATGAGCGTAGCAATGAGCGTGGCAATGAGCGAGGCAATGAGCGGGGCAATGAGCGGGGCATTGAGCGGGGCAATTAGCGCAGGCAATGACGGTGGCAAGTATCGTGGCAATGAGAGTAGCAATGAGTGTGGCAATGAGCGTGGCAATGAGCGTTGCAATGAGCGTGGCAATCAGCGTGGCAATGAGCGTTGCAATGAGCGTGGCAATTATCGTGACAATGAGCGTGGCAATGAGCGTGGCATTGAGCGTAGGAATGAGCGTAGCAATGAGCGTAGCAATGAGCGTAGCAATGAGCTTAGCAATGAGCGTGGGAATGAGCGTGGCAATGAGCATGGTAATGAGCGAGGCAATTATCGTGGCAACGAGCGTGGCAACGAGCGTGGCAATGAGCGTGGCAATGAGCGTGGCAATGAGCGTGGCAATGAGCTTGGCAATGAGCGTGGCAATGAGCGTAGCAATTAGCGTGGCAATGAGCGTAGCAATGAACGAGGAAATTGTCATGGCAATGAGCGGGGCAATGAGCGGAGCAATGAGCGTGGCAATGAGCGTGGTAATGAGCGTGGCAATGAGCGGAGCAATGAGCGTGGCAATGAGCGTGGCAATGAGCGTGGCAATGAGCGGGGCAATGAGCGTGGCAATGAGCTTGGCAATGAGCGTGGCAATGAGCGTGGCAATCAATTATCACCATACTCGTAAATCCCAGTGGCTATTCAAAACCTTTTAAAAAGCGAACGAACGCACTACGAAGAGGCACTGAACGCAAAACAACCTAAAAACCCAAACTATGATGTTGCCAAACTGGAAAGGATTGCATAGGATTGCGGCACTGTTACAAATGTTGGACTCTTGAACGCCCTCGGCCGGACTAGATCCACTCGGGAATCATGATCGTAGATACTAAACTGCTGTAAAGATGAGTTTGTCAAGTACACAGTGTGAACACGACATTCCACTGCTAGCTCCCTTGGTCAGTAAGAGATATGTCAAGTAAAATAGCTCCACTGAGCCCTCAGATGTTGTTGTTGTTGGTTTTTAAAGGTTCTCACACATTAACATTGAACCTATTTTGATAAAAAAAATGGCTGCTTAACCCAGAATTATTTAAGAAAAAAGTATTCTCTTCTCCCCCCCCCCCCAACTTCCGCGGAAAACACGTCTCTTATTACTAACACTGATACTGCGCNATTGGTACCCAAATACACCCTGGTGACTTGTTGCATCTTGCTACCCAAATACACCCTGATGACTTGTTGTATATTGGTACCCAAATACACCCTGGTGACTTGTTGCATCTTGCTACCCAAATACACCCTGATGACTTGTTGTATATTGGTACCCAAATACACCCTGGTGACTTGTTGCATCTTGCTACCCAAATACACCCTGATGACTTGTTGTATATTGGTACCCAAATACACCCTGGTGACTTGTTGCATCTTGCTACCCAAATACACCCTGATGACTTGTTGTATATTGGTACCCAAATACACCCTGGTGACTTGTTGCATCTTGCTACCCAGATACACCCTGATGACTTGTTGTAACTTGTTCCCCACATAATAATAATCATAATAATTAGTGATCTTTTATAGCGCGGTACTCCAGCCTAGGTCTGGACTCACCGCGCTGTACATACAAATATTCTCAAAAGAGACCTAATCATGCCATAGACCCTAATGACTTGTAACTTGTTCCCCAGTCAGTGCCCGAATACCTCAGAGCCGCCCCAAGTGGAACAGAACCGGACGATAATTATATGAAGCCAACAATACCAGAGTTGGTCACGTGACAGCAAGAGCACACATTTTAACATCTTCAAATTTCAGCCAATACATTTGTAAATAAAGTCAATAATGTGGTCTGTTTTTTTTTTAATGACTGATGATTCTCCAATCTATACTGTCAATAAGCCTCTATGTCTCTATACTGTCAATAAGCCTTGATGTTACTATCACTCATTTTTAAATCCTTTATATTGACATCTCTTATGTTCATGCGTTTCTGTACTGAAGGCAAAATCTTCGGACGGCTAATTGACCCACTTACCGCCCTTTTATCGAGCTGAAACGGGACACATAGACTCGTTGCCGATGACAACACACTCCATCAAGTGTTCAGTCAAGCCCCAAAAAATCTGCTTTAACGCGACCAGATGACACCGATTTCACCAAATAAGAATCCCGATAGCTGCACTCAATTAGATGCTTGAAATATCTCAAGAATGTTTGGTGCTTAACAATTTCTTTTGTTTGACGGAAATATTTGGTGTAATAAATCTGCGGTGTAAACGCTGGTAGTTGCGAGCCGGGGGGGGGGGTGGGGGTTGAGGGGAGGAGCACTAATAGTTATTCATCTATAATGCGTTACAGTAATGCATGTTTTGTCAGATTTTCAGCCCCACCCCCCATCGCTCGCTATTGCCTTTCATAAAGGATTTGTTAAGTTTTGTTTAATCCTAGTTGTATTGCAGCATTGCACTGCCAAGTAGAAGATGTGTGGGATGCCGACAGTAACAACACTGACAGTAAGGGTGTCCATTAATGAGTCACACGGCGAATGTGATCCTATCTTTTAGACGGGTTTGAGATTATTAGTGTCGTGTTAACTTCTAAAAAGCGGTGATACAATTGAACAGGCCAGCACACCACCAGTTGTGCACCAATGGAAGTTGGTGTTCTTCAACACTAGTTGGTGTTCTTCAACACTATTGTCGTCCGTCGATGATTGACTAGGACCATCGAGTCGTCCGGTGACTGCTGACGTGCGCGGGTGACTTTTGTTTAAAGCCCACCATATCCAGTGGCAGGACTCTGCGTCAAGCCGACCAGGGATGGGTACGGTTGCAGGAATTGTCATTGTATGCACCTTACGGGACTCCAACTCCGGGTTTGAATTCAGAGTTTCCTTCTCTTAGATGTTTTTGACTGGCCTTATGCTGGAATTGAACTACAGACCACCAACTTGAGGTTTGCTCAGTTTAGACCATTCGGCCACCCAGTCAACACTAACAATGCCAGCACACAACCAGCACGACGATTCCAGTCAAGCTTGACGTACCACGCATCATTAGTTCTATGAATGTAAAAGCGACATTTCAATGACCCTTTGACAGCGATCAAAGAAACACATGTTTATATTGGCGCTAGAACAACAGAACGCCGGGACGCCTTACCGGAAGTTGGGTGGTCGTCTCACATGATTGCATTTCAATGGCTGAAAAGCGCAGTTGGTGATATGGTATGACAATCGAATATCAAATAATGGCTGAACCTAACAATGAAGACCATGGGTTCTACATAAAAATTAAATATGTGGCTCCTAAGAAAAATAAGGTGCAATATTTATGTAGTGTGAAGGGATCCTTGGACTTGAGTCGGTTAAATAATTAAATAGCGTCCTTCATAACCTCTTAATTGGAATGTTGGTTTTCCCTTGATAAAGGGATCTACATGGATACGTTGAGGACCCCTGCCTTAGAAATATAACATAAGCAAAAGTATTATTTTATTTATATGTTTTATTCAGTAAAAATATCACATAATTGAAGCTGAAATAGCACATACACATCACATAGTTGATAGCTGAAATGGCCCATACATCACATAGTTGATAGCTAAAATGGCCCATACAACATCACATAGTTGATAGCTGAAATGGCCCATACAACATCACATAGTTGATAGCTGAAATGGCCCATAAAAAATCACATAGTTGATAGCTGAAATGGCCCATACAACATCACATAGTTGATAGCTGAAATGGCCCATACAACATCACATAGTTGAAAGCTGAAATGGCCCATACAACATCACATAGTTGATAGCTGAAATGGCCCATACAACATCACATAGTTGATAGCTGAAATGGCCCATACAACATCACATAGTTGATAGCTGAAATGGCCCATACAACATCACATAGTTGATAGCTGAAATGGCCCATACAACATCACATAGTTGATAGCTGAAATGGCCCATACAACATCACATAGTTGATAGCTGAAATGGCCCATACAACATCACATAGTTGATAGCTGAAATGGCCCATACAACCTAGACATGAAGATGAATAAAAAGAATGTTCACGATATACAGTAATAATCTTAGGCCATTCATGCTACAAGACACATTGGAGACACATTGGAGACACATTGGAGACACATTGGAGACACATTGGAGACACATTGGAGACACAGTGGAGACACATCATTGGAGACACATTGGAGACACAGTGGAGACACATTGGAGACACATTGGAGACACAGTGGAGACACATTGGAGACACATTGGAGACACATTGGAGACACATTGGAGACACATTGGAGACACATTGGAGACACATTGGAGACACATTGGAGACACAGTGGAGACACATTGGAGACACAGTGGAGACACATCATTGGAGACACATTGGAGACACATTGGAGACACATTGGAGACACATTGGAGACACAGTGGAGACACATTGGAGACACAGTGGAGACACATTGGAGACACATTGGAGACATATTGGAGACACATTGGAGACACATTGGAGACACATTGGAGACACATTGGAGACACATTGGAGACACATTGGAGACACATTGGAGACACATTGGAGACACATTGGAGTGAGCAGGGCGATGGGGTTCTGAAAGAGGTGGGTCTTGAGGGGGGTTACACGAGATTGATCTTATTTCAAAATGAATTATTTACAAACTATTGACAGCTGTAACAAATAATTCCAGTACGTACTATTTGTAAAAGTCCAAAACTGTGAGTGATTTGGAATAATGTGACTAATTTTTGGACTGATAAGTTCAATTTGGAATGAGGTATTTAATTTGGAAATCTATTTGGAATGAGTCTGATAATGGCATGCTATGATTTAATTGAAATGCCTTGCCTGTCTAGTAAACAGTGATTGAAAGTAACTAGTCAGATCCTAAATGACCAACACATTGGTAGACTCACTAACACGTCTGTAGACACGATAAAGGGCTCTTGGCCAAGGAGAAGAACAATAAGTGGAATACCGTGCATATATTTATATTTATTACTGCCCCTTATCATATATTATTTTTCTCATGTTTAAGTATTTTAATAATTAATGGTCTAATTGTAATGTGCATGTTCGTCCTGTCTAGGAAGTAGATACAAAAATTACCATCTTCTTATATGGTTACAGCATATACATTGAATTGTTTCCTTGAAATTGAAAAGATTACATTTTGAACATTTCAAGAGACACAAAGCATCTAAACACATAGTTTCACCTTCATTCTTCCCTTACAGAGACAATAGAACAGATAGTTTCTCTTTCATTCTTCCATTACAGAGACAATAAAACACATAGTTTCTCCTTCATTCTTCCATTACAGAGACAATAGCACACATAGTTTCTCTTTCATTCTTCCATTACAGAGACAATAAAACACATTTTTTCTCTTTCATTCTTCCATTACAGAGACAATAAAAGACATTTTTTTCTCCTTCATTCTTCCATTACAGAGACAATAAGTTTGTACCATCAACGAATCTCGATGTTCCAGATGTGTTTGTGGGGCAAACAATTGATACTGCCCCGGAAATTAAGAAATTATGAAGTCACATGAGTGAACACACAGCTAACAAATGCCATGTGTCATTCATCAACAAATGATAATTGTCTGTGCGTGTCATTCATTCTGCTTGTATCATTCTTTCAACTATCATTTTTTGTTTATCTTGGTTTAAGGTGCGTAGCCTGAGTTTCATGGCACACCTCTTGCCCGCGCTAATGCTTGGGACATCCCCCCCCCCTTTTGCTGAGCTAATACTTGGGATACCCCCAAGAGTCCACTGCGCTAATGCTTGGGACATCCCCCCCCCTTTTTTTGCTGAGCTAATACTTGGGATACCCCCAAGAGGCCACTGCGCTAATGCTTGGGACTCTCTTTGGTGGTACCTAATAACAGTACAAATAATATTATTTCTATACAAAAAATGCAAACATGTGCAAGGATTTCATTATTTTGGGACAACAACATTAATCTGACATCTGAAAAGTTATCGAAAACTCCAGAAAGAAATGTTCTTGTATGAAGATTCACACGCCAATATTTCTTGATCATAAAAGTTGAAAAATCCGCCATGTACACAGTGCCCCCAAAACAATTGATAGCTTCCCTTTAAACAATTGATAGCTTCCCTTTAAACAATTGATAGCTTCCCTTTAAACAATTGATAGCTTCTCTTTAAACAATTGATAGCTTCCCTTTAAACAATTGATAGCTTCCCTTTAAACAATTGATAGCTTCTCTTTAAACAATTGATAGCTTCCCTTTAAACAATTGATAGCTTCCCTTTAAACAATTGATAGCTTCCCTTTAAACAATTGATAGCTTCCATTTAAACAATTGGTAGCTTCCCTTTAAACAATTGATAGCTTCCCTTTAAACAATTGATAGCTTCCCTTTAAACAATTGATAGCTTCCCTTTAAACAATTGATAGCTTCCCTTTATTGGCAGAAGACAAAACTTGGGGAGTCAACACTCGCACAAATGCATTGTGGGGGCCATAAAAAGGTGGGGTGGGCGGGGTGGGGGTAACATTGAGCAGTTTTCCCTGCCTACCATAACACTTGACATTAAATGTAAATGATAAATGATCAGATCCCTTCAATTTATTATTAAATAAACCCACGAGGTGTTCTCACATTTTTTCGGAGTGGGGAGAATTGGGCCCCCTGTTGTCACATGACTTTTGATGCTATCCCAATATTTTTTTTTCAGTTTTTTCTTCAACACATCATTCAAGGTCAAGGTCAAGGCTCGTTGGTTTTAAATCGAAGATACATTTTTGTCTTCAATTTTATCCTCGGAATTCGTTAAGCAGCGTTGCCTGCCAGTCAAGCATGTCCATGTCGTTGCAGCGATTGGATGAGCAGAAGCACGTGATCTCGTCGTTCCTTCGTATGCAGCCAGTTTTAGGGGGAGGACTGGCGAAGTAATAGTTACCGGAACAGCTTCGGACGATATCTGGAAGAAAAGATAACATTAATTTAGAGTTACAACCCCTGGCACATCACGTGATCCACACCTGCTGCTCACGTAACTTACTGTTTGTACAAATGTTAGGCACGACAGTCAATAAATACCCAGGCTAAAAACTAAAAAATGCCAACATATCACAAGGGCAAATGTCAACAGATGACAGATGCTATTACCCAATGCCAAATCATCGCAAAACAATAATGGCACGTGTTAAAAATATCGCCACATTGCTTATATATATATTTTTTACAGATCACATTGCTAAATCTTAACAGTGTAGAGAGCTAAATGTTAACAGATCATAGTGCTAATAAACTCATTGTGGCTTACAACTTGTGAAAACCTAGTAAAATGAAGACTCGGCTCTTACCTCCTAAGGGCCATCTCTTGACTGTAGCGACGCACTGACCGTTGCATTTGATTGGTTGCCTGGCCCAACCTTTCAGTTTTCCGTTGGCCGGACATGCTTCGTTTTGCCAACTGCCTGGGGCTCCACTGCTGCACTCAAAGCACATGTACGGGGGGCCACGTCTGGGGGGCGTGCTTGTAGTGGTGCTGGTGGTGGTGGTTGTGGTGGGTGTGGTGGTGGTGGTGATGGGTGTGGTGGTGGTGGTGGTGGGTGTGGTGGTGGTGGTGGTGGGTGTGGTGGTGGTGGTGGGTGTAAGAATGGTGGTTAGTGTAGTAGGGAGGATGGTGGTTGTAGCTAAGGTTGATGTTGTCGTTTCTTCTACGGCTACAGTTGTAGTATCTTCTACGGCTGGTGTTGTAGTATCTTCTACGGCTACTGTTGTAGTATCTTCTACGGCAACAATTGTATTATCTTCTACGGCAAGAATTGTAGTATCTTCTACGGCTACTGTTGTAGTATCTTCTACGGCTACAGTTGTAGTATCTTCTACGGCTACTGTTGTAGTATCTTCTACGGCTACAGTTGTAGTATCTTCTCCGGCTACTGTTGTAGTAGCTTCTACGGCAACAATTGTAGTATCTTCTACGGCTACTGTTGTAGTATCTTCTACGGCTACTGTTGTAGTATCTTCTACGGCTACTGTTGTAGTATCTTCGACGTCTGCTTTTGTAGTATCTTCTACGGCTGGTGTTGTAGTATCCTCTACGGCTACTGTTGTAGTATCTTCTACGGCTACAGTTGTAGTATCTTCTACGGCTACTGTTGTAGTATCTTCTACGGCTACAGTTGTAGTATCTTCTACGGCTACTGTTGTAGTATCTTCTACGGCTACAGTTGTAGTATCTTCTACGGCTACAGTTGTAGCAGCTTCTACGGCTACTGTTGTAGTATCTTCTACGGCTACTGTTGTAGTATCTTCTACGGCTGCAGTTGTAGTATCTTCTACTGCTACTGTTGTAGTATCTTCTACGGCTACTGATGTAGTATTTTCTACGGCTGGTGTTGTAGTATCTGCTTCGGCTGGTGTTGTAGTTTCTTCTACGGCTACTGTTGTAGTATCTTCTACGGCTACTGATGTAGTATCTTCTACGGCTACTGTTGTAGTATCTGCTTCGGCTGGTGTTGTAGTTTCTTCTACGGCTACTGTTGTAGTATCTTCTATGGCTACTGATGTAGTATCTTCTACGGCTGGTGTTGTAGTATCTGCTTCGGCTGGTGTTGTAGTATCTGCTTCGGCTGGTGTTGTAGTATCTTCTACGGCTGGTGTTGTAGTATCTTCTACGGCTGGTGTTGTAGTATCTTCTACGGCTACTGTTGTAGTATCTTTTACGGCTGGTGTTGTAGTATCTTCTACGGCTGGTGTTGTAGTGTCTTCTACGGCTGGTGTTGTAGTATCTGCTTCGGCTGGTGTTGTAGTATCTGCTTCGATGTTGTAGTATCTTCTACGGATAGTGTTGTAGTATCTTCTGCGGCTGGTGTTGTAGTATCTTCTTCGGCTGGTGTTGTAGTATCTTCTTCGGCTGGTGTTGTAGTATCTTCTACGGCTGGTGTTGTAGTATCTTCTACGGCTGGTGTTGTAGTATCAGCTACGGCTACTGATGTAGTATCTTCTAAGGCTGGTGTTGTAGTATCTGCTTCGGCTGGTGTTGTAGTATCTGCTTCGGCTGGTGTTGTAGTATCTTCTAAGGCTGGTGTTGTAGTATCTTCTAAGGCTGGTGTTGTAGTATCTTCTACGGCCACTGATGTAGTATCTTTTACGGCTGGTGTTGTAGTATCTTCTACGGCTGGTGTTGTAGTGTCTTCTACGGCTGGTGTTGTAGTATCTGCTTCGGCTGGTGTTGTAGTATCTGCTTCGGCTGGTGTTGTAGTGTCTTCTACGGCTGGTGTTGTAGTATCTGCTTCGGCTGGTGTTGTAGTATCTGCTTCGGCTGGTGTTGTAGTATCTTCTACGGCTGGTGTTGTAGTGTCTTCTACGGCTGGTGTTGTAGTATCTGCTTCGGCTGGTGTTGTAGTGTCTTCTACGGCTGGTGTTGTAGTATCTGCTTCGGCTGGTGTTGTAGTGTCTTCTACGGCTACTGTTGTAGTTTCTTTTACAACTATTGTATTTTCTTCGGCTGCGGTGTTAGTGGCCCCCACAGTTTGTGTAGCATTGCTAGTGGTGCTTACATTCCCCACTGATGGAGACTGAGAGGGAGATTCTGATGTGTACGAGCACACGGCCTCCCTGTATGGTGCCAGGATTTGTCTCAAAAGGGACTGAATGGAATTCCCAGCCTCAATGGAGCAGATAGAGTTAGCCGCCCTTGCTGCACACGCTGTGTAATAATCCGGTAATCTGAAGTAGACAACACAAAGGAGGAGTGGCTAGATTTATTCTAATATGCCGATATATTTTATTTTTTTTTAAATATGAAAGGATTTTTTAAAAATTTTAATATTTTATTAAATCAAGTTCTATTATATCGGGTTATTTGAGAACCTACCTGCAAAGTTCCGATTTGAGAGCAAAGACTGGGATGGACACCGCGCAGTAGTTCAACTCATATGCTATGGAGATATTTGACAAGCAAGGCAGAAGGCTGACGAAGTCTGGAATTTATTTGAACATTATGAAATGGATATCAAGGTCAACTTTTATTCGTCGTCATAAAATGTTATTTTTTACACGAATGCAAGAAGTGCCTCATTTTTTACTACAAACTGGACACAATTGATCATACACTGACATAGTTGACCACAGACGGACACAATTGATCATACACTGACACATTTGACCACAGATTGACAAAACTGACCACAGACTGACACATCTGACCACACACTGACACATCTGACCAAGGCTGATACCTCTGACCACAGACTGACACATCTGACCACAGACTGACACATCTGACCACATACTGTCACATCTGACCACAGACTGACACATCTGACCACAGACTGACCACAGACTGACCACAGACTGACCACAGACTGACCACAGACTGACCACATACTGACACATCTGACAACAAACTGTCACATCTGACCACAGACTGACACATCTGACCACAGACTGACCACAGACTGACCACAGACTAACCACATCTGACCACATACTGACACATCTGACAACAAACTGTCACATCTGACCACAGACTGACACATCTGACCACAGACTGACCACAGACTGACCACAGACTGACCACAGACTGACCACAGACTGACCACAGACTAACCACATCTGACCACATACTGATACATCTGACCCCAGACTGACATCTCACCACATACTGTCACATCTGACCACAGACTGACACATCTGACCACAGACTGACATCAGACTGACCACAAACTGACACATCTGACCACATACTGACCACAGACTGACCACAGACTGACCACAGACTGACACATCTGACCACAGACTGACCACAGACTGACCACAGACTGACCACAGACTGACCACAGACTGACCACAGACTGACCACAGACTGACCACAGACTGACACATCTGACCACAGACTGACCACAGACTGACAATACACACCACACAATGACCACAGACTCACCACCGACTGACCACAGACTGACCACAGACTGACCACAGACTGACCACAGACTGACCACAGACTGACACATCTGACCACAGACTGACCACAGACTGACCATACACAGACTGAAGAGCGTAAAGAAACCTTACCTTTAAAGCCCAGGGGAGAGCACAAGATGTCAAAAGCGTTTTCAAAAATATCAAGAGTGACTGTAGAAATGGGAGAGCATCCCTGGAGTTGGGGCGCTGAGCAGTTCTTGTAAAGGTCATTAATCCTAGTGAAGGAATGGCGATTTCATGAAATGAAGCTTTACAGTTAAGTGCACTATATCTGACTCGCCTACAAATGTGTCTTCAGCAAGTCTGCTCTTAAGTAGATGCATGTCTACACAGACAAGTCATGGCATTAGAGTTCAATTCTCTTTAAGTAGACGCGTAGATAGGTCACAGGATTAGAGTTCAATTCTTCTTTATAATTGCAGTGAATTAAAGATAGATTAAGCTGTTTGGTCATATGGTTAAGCCGATTGGTGGTATATTCAAGCAATGTGGTCATATATTTTACCACGTAGGTCATACTGTTAAGCCAATTAGTTTATATAGATAAAACAATAAGGCATAAGATACGCCATTGTGACCATAAAGTTAAGCCTTTGTCCATAACATTAAGCTATTTGCCCATTAAGTTTAATCATTGGCCATAACAAAGAGCCATTTTCCAAGAAATTTTAGCAATGTGGCAACCTAGTTGAGCCATTAGGTTATAGCTTGAAGCCGTATGAGGCCCCACTACATTCTGCTCACTGGTCACTTACTTGCAGAAGGTCAGCTGTGCCGACTGTGGGTTTCGCAGGAAGAATGGGTTCAAGATGACGTTGTAAAACTCCCCCATGGCGTCATGAAGGCAGGCGTTTGCCTGGTCTAAACTTGGACAGATGACACCTGTACAGATCAACATAAAGTATCTCAAGATACACACTGGCGCAATTTCAGATAATCATTTGACATAATCCACAGGTAAATCTTCTATACATAATCCACAGGTAAATCTTCTATACATAATCCACAGGTGGATCTTCTATATAGAGGTGATAATTATACATTGATGCAAGGGTCTTTTACATAGAAGCAGAGGCGTAGCTATGATATTTTGCGTCCAGGAACGAACTATAAAATTGGCACCCCAAACCCCCTCCCCGTTTAATTACATTGTTTCTATTACATTGAATAAGGAAAGCAATTTACATTTAAAACAATCTGTTTTTTTTTATCAGATGACACGTCTGCTGAGCTGACCAAATCAGTAGGCTATCAGATGACACGTCTGATGAGCTGACCAAATAAGTAGGCTATCAGATGACACGTCTGGTGAGCTGACCAAATAAGTAGGCTATCAGATGACATGTCTGGTGAGCTGACCAAATAAGTAGGCCATCAGATGACATGTCTGGTGAGCTGACCAAATAAGTAGGCCATCAGATGACACGTCTGCTGAGCTGACCAAATAAGTAGGCCATCAGATGACACGTCTGCTGAGCTGACCAAATTAGTAGGCCATCAGATGACATGTCTGCTGAGCTGACCAAATAAGTAGGCCATCAGATGACACGTCTGCTGAGCTGACCAAATAAGTAGGCCATCAGATGACACGTCTGCTGAGCTGACCAAATAAGTAGGCCACCAGATGACACGTCTGCTGAGCCACTGCACCGATCTTGTGACCAAGTTATTACTCTTTTTTACTTATAATGTAACATTATAAGCCTCATTTTGGCGCCCCAGTACCTTGGCACCCGGGGACATAGGTATGCCTCTGTCCCCCCTCCCCCCGCTACGCCTATGCATAGCAGTAAATAAATTTGTTTAAATATAGGTAGCTATTCTACACAATTAGTTGGTACAGGTAACTATTCTACACAATTAGTTGGTACAGGTAACTATTCTACACAATTAGTTGGTACAGGTAACTATTCTACACATTTAGTTGGCACAGGTAACTTTTCTACACAGTTAGTAGTTAGATGTAACCATTCTACACAATTGTTGCCAGAGGTAGCCCCTCTACACAATAAGTGGCTAGAGGTAGCCATTCTACACAATTAGTGGCTAGAGGTAACTATTCTTCATAAGTAGTGGCATTTCTTCTTAGGGGATATTTTTCTATACCATGCGATACATTGTTTCGACTTGGGGATTATTTTCTATATTATCAGAGCTGCTTCCTTCCACATAGGAACAATTGTTCTATATCATTTGAAGCATTGTTCTAGGGAGCAGAAGTTTTGTTCTGTAATATTCCTTTTTTTTTTTACATGGCGTAGTTTTTTTCTTCGTTATAATTATTGTTCTAAATCAGTAAAGAAAATAGTTTCTACATTCCTAAGAACTTAAGATTAAAAATGATCTATCTAGTGACTTCGGTTGGCATTCTACGTAAATATGGTGTACGTTTCATGTTTGGTTTGTCTTGTGTAGGGTCAACACTATGGTGGCAACACCGGAAATGTCTACACAACTTTGATACATGTATAATTTGTATTCAGGCAAGACATGTTCATCTTATATTTACCAAACGGGTTTCCTGCCTCGGTTGCGTTCGTCCAAGGCAACATGGCCGCCTCAGCTGTGGTGTTGATGAGCTCTATGAGCGGAGACATGCTGGCCTCGGGGGCGGGTTGATAAAAGGGAGGGATGGTGGTGATATGCCCTTCATACATGGAAGCGAAAGATGGTGGAATGGTGGCGCCCTGACCTGCAAGTCATAAGTCATATTAATAAGACTTGGTAAACAATTTCAAAGTCAACTTTTAAGGTGTTGTTTTTTTTTTTTTTAATAATTTGTTTACTATTTCTCTGTTAGTTGATAAATAAGTCAGTCTTAATTCAGATTGTATCATGTTTGATAAATAGTCGTAATAAGTCTTAAGTTAGATTCCAAAACGTTGGTCGAATATGTCTGTCTGATGTTAGATTCCCGTTTAAGTCAGATATTAAAATGTTGGTCAAATATTTCAACCTTAAGTTAAATTGATATTACATGTTTAAGCTGTCAAGACATCAATACCTTTTTCAAATATTTAACGATGGTTGGACAAATTTCCAAATATATCTAAAGGTATTATTTGTTTCACAGGTCCGCCAATGACTGCATGCTTGATTGATTCCGTCATTGATTGCATGCATTATTGATTTTGTCCAACCTTAGAATTTAACAACGACATTTTGCTATGTACTATGTTAAAATGACCTGAAGTTTTCGCACATTGACATTTCAACGTAATGTTTATGTCACCAACTCGACTCACCTAGCGAGAAAATGTTCACGGCAGACACGATCATCAGGAGGTACTTCATTCTTCACTGGATCACAGGTCAAAATACAGGGTCAGCTAAATAGGTGGTCAGTTCTCAGTGGTCAGTTCGCTGTTAGGGCTAAAATTTCCTTAAATAACTAGAGTGTAATCGGTTAACGGAGTGGTCAAGAAGTGCGTGTTCCAAGACTGTCTCCAAGAAAGTGACGAGACAACCAACTTCCCCGGAATATATACCTAAGAGTTGTGCCCCTCCCACCACCCCCACCCCGGTCATCATTTTAAAGGGTTGTTGTTGGGGAGGGGGGAATAATGACGTGTGACGTATATGTACATCTGATAACATCCATTACATGGATGAAAACAAAACTTTCTTTGAGGGGTGGGTAAGGGAGGGCTATGTCGTTAAGATCCCGGATGAGACGGTCGTCTGCCGCCCACACCAATGAATCTCAAGACAGCATTTCATAGCACGTCCACCGGTGCAGGTAACGCCGTCCTGGATTGCAAGGCTTGAAACACCTGGAATGTGATCACCCCCCCCCCTTCCCCCAGGCGAATATAGTGTCCAAGGTAAAACTCCAGGTGAGAATATACACCTGACGGAGGTGGAAATTTGATTAATTAACACGGCTCATTACGGGGAATTGTGGGGGAAGACCAAATATTAGGACCAAATCTTAGGACCCGTTGAGATGTGCTGACAGGTGCAGTGAATCATAGGTTTATTATTACCTCAATTTGGACAATAGATTGACATGGATGCCACAGAAATATCCTTGAGGAAGTCCTCATTAGTCATACAGGGCTGGACGTCAGGTGTCAGTGATAACAATAGACTGTCGGAGGTGTCCACCTCTGCACTAGAATAAATAATCCACATGGATGTAATCGCCGGGCAGGACTGGTGCCATGTCTTCGTGCGCCCTGTGAGAGACTCAGTACATCGTCTGCCAAGAAGCCACTCTGTTCTGACAGACGGGCCAAACAAAGGTCATACCTCTATAAATGAATGAACTTCCACGTCATATTTCATGGACGGTGTTGAGGCGCACCTACAAAACGTTGGACACAAAACTGATCTAATTGTGTGTTAGATTTAGATAATTAATTGATTCTTGTGTTAATGAATGAAGGGCGAAGCACAGCCCTGCTTCTGACAGACGAGAGGCCGTGACCTTAGCAAGTGACGTGGCGGCCATCGTGACGATGAAGACATACGTTAGAACGGGTGGAACTAGATTTACGTCACATGAGTCGTACGATGTTTCCCTACAATTGATGGTCTTAGTGGGGTTAAATTCTAGCAACTGCAGTAAAAACACAATTCTAGTGGGGGAGTTTTTATATTTAACAAGTTGATCTTCAGAATGTGACATGATGAAGCATGTAAGTAACAAGTTGATCTTCAGAATGTGACATGATGAAGCTTGTAAGTAACAAGTTGATCTTCAGAATGTGACATGATGAAGCATGTAAGTGAACAAGTTGATCTTCAGAATGTGACATGATGAAGCTTGTAAGTGAACAAGTTGATCTTCAGAATGTGACATGATGAAGCTTGTAAGTTTAATGATTTAATTAATGGAGTTATACATATCAATATCTGGACGTCTGCAAAAGATGTGGGGGAGGGGGGTATAGATATGGTTGGGGTTGGAGATTTTTTTTATAAGTTACAAACATAATACATTTCTTATCCGTCAACAATTCTATTTTCTTTGATACATAAAAACATATTTTAAAAAACAAATTTCAATTTTATTGCACGATATCTGTTTATGTCAATGGCTGCACAACGTATTGTCATTTCAAATGGTAGAAGAACACCAATTATGTGATTTTAGGCTCAAAGTTACGGACCATCTGCTCCTCAACAACTGTTTGTTTGTTTGTTTGTTTATTTGTTGATGATTACAGATGCAGCCATTGCCTAAAAACTTGGAGCGGGTGATGGCGACCGTTTCACGCAGAGAAGACGCTGAGATCTTAAGCACTGTACGGTTAGACTAGACAAGGATGATGTCAGCACTTAAGCAGCACCTTGTGGTTAGACTAGACAAGGATGACGTCAGCACTTTCGCACTTTATGGTTAGACTAGACAAGGATGACGTCACCATTTAAGCACTGTATGGTTAGACATACCTCTCTAATGATACCAGAAGGCTGTAGGACTAATCTCTCTAATGATTCCAGAAGGCTGTTAGATATACCTCTCTAATGATACCAGAAGGCTGTTAGACAAATATCTCTAATGATACCAGAACGCTGTTAGACAAATCTCTATAATGATACCAGAAGGCTGACTGTGAACAGATTCCATGGTTCAAGTACGAATTTACAGATTTTGGTCGAAGGCAATTTTAATATTATACAGCTTTATCATTAGGAAATCATTTGATATTTGGCAGTTGATATGTAGGGCAGTTTTGATATTGGGCAGTTTTGATATTGGGCAGTTTTGATGGAGGGCAGTTTTGATATTGGGCAGTATTGATATTGGGCAGTTTTGATATTGGGCAGTTTTGATATTGGGCAGTTTTGATATTGGGCAGTTTTGATGGAGGGCAGTTTTGATATTGGGCAGTTTTGATATTGGGCAGTTTTGATATTGGGCAGTTTTGATATTGGGCAGTTTTGATATTGGGCAGTTTTGATATTGGGCAGTTTTGATATTGGGCAGTTTTGATATTGGGCAGTTTTGATGGAGGGCAGTTTTCATGGAGGGCAGTTTTCATGGAGGGCAGTTTTCATGGAGGGCAGTTTTCATGGAGGGCAGTTTTGATGGAGGGCAGTTTTGATGGAGGGCAGTTTTGATTTAGGGTAGTTCTGATGTAGGGCATTTTTTTACCAAAAGGTAGATGACACAGTGTTGTTGTTGTTGTTGTTGTGGTTGTTGTTGTTGACACCAAACGAATGTTTACAATTCAAAACCTAAAAGGACTCTCAAACATTCGTTTCTTTATTCCCACATTTGCTCGTCTCAGAGCAGCGTTTCCCCGAGTCGGGCAACGTTCTTCCGAGTCGTGCTCTGCGGACCGGCGCCGGTCCACGAACCAAAAGATGCCGGTCCGCAGAACGTGAATATTTATTTATTTTCAAATAATAATTCAAATAATAATTCATAAATGTGTGGACGGACACATGTGTAGTTCTGAAGCTTGTCCACAGGTCCCCCATATTTAAACAGTTTGGGAAACGCTAGTCTAGAGACAACTATGAAACTCTAGATAATAAATTTTAGTTAACATACTCCATATATAAAATAATCCAACCTATGAGTCTTGGCTAATGCGTCATGGACTCGACTTGACATATCAAAAACAAAGCTGACTCCAGCTAATGCCTCATGGAATTGACTTGACATATCAAAAACACAGCTTACTCAAGCTGATGTGTCATGGGCTTGACTTGACATATAAAAAAGACAGCTGACTCCAGCTAATGTGTCATGGGCTTGACTTGGCACATAAAAAAGACAGCTGACTCCAGCTAATGTGTCATAGGCTTGACTTGACACATAAAAAAGACAGCTGACTCCAGCTAATGTGTCATGGGCTTGACTTGACAGATAAAAAAGACAGCTGACTCCAGCTAATGTGTCATGGGCTTGACTTGACATATGAAAAACAGCAAGAAACCAAAAGAAAGCTGCTTATAAATTAATGACCCCTCCCCACTTTTGAAACACAAGTGTTTTGTGTACAAAAGAAATAGAACGTAAATAAGAACACTATAATTTCTGGGGCTTTTATTTCATGAAATACATTTTTTTCTGGTTTTTAGTTGCACATATTTTTCACCAAAAAACTTCCACTTTTTCTATGTATCCTCAAACAGCCAATCATCGAATCGTTCACACCATGGCGGCTATATTAAGTCTCTTTCATCTGTCTTTTTTGTCCATCAACTCTCGGCTACCCGGATCAAGAGCGGTATTGTTGACGGTATCCCATGGAGCAATTTTTATGGCGACATTCCTTGATTTCATGAAGGGGCCATCTGAAAACATTGAGTCGGAGATCCTGTTGACTTCCGGCAATTCCTCGGAGGCAGTCGTTGGTGTCGGAACGGTATGGTCACAAAGAAATGCTCATCTGAAGATCAACTTAATGGATTTGTAGTTTATAGTCAAATATGCTTTTAAATAATAACGACCATTTTATGTTTTGATAAAAATGAAGACATAACAATGAATGACGTTATGTCATTATCCCATAAGTCCCCCCCCCCCCCAATTTCTTTTTATGTAGAGATCCCTATTATTTCTGCAACCCCCACGCCCCTTTCTGCCCTCACCCCAAATCTCGTACACGAATCTTAGATCCGCCCCTGCACGGTACCCCGGATGTCTATCCACCCCCTAGAACAACAAGCTGTGATTGTATCACAATCCAGTTACCTGAGAGGGCCTGCTAGACGGATACACTGGGACCAGATACAGTTGCACGTGGCATTTTAACAAAGTCGTCCAGCCAATGGGAGGGGGTGGGGGGGTCCTCTGCTCTAGTGCTGCAAGAGTGTTTGGTGCCCGTGGACAAGTTTGATTTGTTATGCCCCCCTCTACACCCCACCCCCCCACCCCCCAAAAAAAAATCAACCCTGAAACCCATAGTTATTATCTACTTGTCGACCCGTGACGTAGCATACGTCGCAGAATTGCTCATGAACTCTATTAAATATTCTCATGTCCCAACCACTTTTAAACCCAATATGTTTTACACAATACTGGTACTTAAATTGAGACGATTTCATTTCCGAAAGGAAAATATTACGCAAAAAACACAATTGCGTTATTAAATATATATATATCATTTAGCGCAGTTATCGGGAATTATATTTTGCGCGCTAGTGAACTAATTTTTTTAACCACAGTCTGGCGTATCTATATGTAGCCTGCGTGGTGGTGTTTGACCTTAGCTGGCGTATCTATATATAGATGAAATGCCATCGTTTATCCTTGTAAAGGTTTTCTTGTTTTGTTTTTTGTTTGTTTTTGAAACTTGTTATCCTTAGATTGTTTAGGGTGGAAGAAACGCTTTTCAAGCCATCTGAAATGATTGGAAGAAACGCTTTTCAAGCCATCTGAAATGATTGGAAGAAACGCTTTTCAAGCCATCTGAAATGATTGGAAGAAACGCTTTTCAAGCCATCTGAAATGATTGGAAAAAACGCTTTTCAAGCCATCTGAAATGAATCTTACG